TTTTTTTTTTTTTTTTTCAGCATTAACTGTTATTCATGTTCAGCTTCTCTGATCTCGCGACGTAAAGAAATGCAAAGCACTTTCCGTGCTGCCTCAGACCCACATGATAACCTGCATTCAGAACCCTTCCCATCCAGACTCCTGACACTTTTTCAATCCAGGCTGTAAAGAGGCGTGTTTGTTCAAAGTCGGTTCTCTCCTATCAGCAGGGACACTGATCTCTAGCAGAGATTCACCATGGCCTCCGCACTGACTGGCACGCCTTTCATTTCTTGTTTACTGTTTTTATCATTACTATTTTCTGCTGTTTTTTGCGATGCCGATGCAGAAGATGATGAACATGCCAGGCACACATATACTGTAGAAATGTTCAACGAGGCGGTCCCCACTGCACCCCACTTTGTCATGTTTTACGCACCATGGTAAGTGGATTAAATAGTGCTTTTTGGTCTATGTTGGGCAGATTAACTGGTTATACCGCCAGTTTGTCTTTAGCAACCATTTAAAACCCAACGGGTCTATCTTATTACCGTGGTAAGAGTTTACCGGTAAACCCCGGCTACCTAGCTTGTTGGCTTGTTAGCTACTAGGCTACATAGCCCCGTCCGCTAACTGTAGACTGGTTTAGCTTAGATGCTAGGTTAGCATAGCATAGATGTTAGGTTAGCATAGCATAGACAAGTAGCAGCTTATCGGATTTAAACATTTGCTTTTAGGCCTTATAGCATAAGATTACATAGATTTCCGGTTTTGGAGATGCGTTTGAAACATTTTCGGGTAGCAGTGCCTAATTCACAGTTGTTGTCACTGTTTTTGCACCACATTGGTGAAGTTTTTTTTAAGTTGCATGGGAATAGCTATGCTTACGTGGCATGCACTGATTCACTGTTATGTCATTGGGTTCAAAACTGTGGTCCGGGGTCCCTCTGAGGCACTTTGTCAGGCAGTGAAATTAAACATGTGGAGCTACATTTTTCTATGCTTCATAGTAAAGTTTAATTTCTTGTCTCAGGCGGAATTCTGCGGTGCTATGGTGTCATTTCTCCTGAAGACAAAGTGTTGTGTTTTCATTGTGTTTTGTAATGTTATCCAATGCTGGGTCACTGATCTGCATGAGCACAACTGACTGTGGGTTTCTCTTTATAATCTCTCAATTTGATGCAAGGTCTAAAAACCTTCACAATATGAAGAACATTTTAAACACTTTTAAAACATGAGGGAATACTTTGAAATCCTAGAATTTAAAGAGAGAAAACAGAACAGACATGTACAGTAACATTTTAGCTTTCAGATTTCAGGGAGTCAATATTTGTAAAATCATACATCCACATTTTTGGAAAACAGTATATTTTTTCAAAGACTTTATACCATTAATCTCTGAAAATTCCAAATATTTTCCATAATCATTCCATAGTTTTGCACCGCGATGCCGAAAAGAAATTTGCACTTGATTTTTAATACTTAATGGTAAATAAAAAGACAAAGCTTGCCTAGTATTATAAGAATGGACTTGGCAGTTCTTAACAAAATAATTCTTAAAACTATCAGGAGACTGACCTTGTTTTATGATAAAAACAAGTGTACATGTTTGATAAATATTAAATTCATAAATATTCCACAGCTGTAATTTGGAGAAAAGGGGGCACTAGCTCTATCAACTTTAGAAAATCCTGCAGGTGTTAGAATGTATTCAGTACTTTAAGTCCAGGGATTGATTGATTGACTTTATTGATCTCCCATTGGAGAAATTTACTCGTTATGTCAGCTAATAATCCAAAAGAAAAGAAGTTGCTAAATGAAGAAAAAGGTGCATGTGATATGTACAGTATATTCAGTGTGTCCACATGACAGCTTTTTTTTTTTATAGCAGGATCATTATACAGGGTTATTGCACAGGGTGTTTACCTGGATATTTATATTTATAGATATCGTTATTGCACTGAGTGTAAAATATAGAGAAATAGGTTATTGCACAGGGTATCAAATAATAATTGCACATTAGATATTGCACAAGTCACTGCCGTTGTAGTGTCGCATTGTAGAGTCCGGTGGAAGCAGGGATGAATGACATGCAGTAGCGGTCCTTTTTAAAAACAGTGTGTAAAAAGTTTTTCAACTAACGAGGTGCTCAGCTCCTCTACAGTCTGGTGCAGAGGGTGGAAGGTGTTGTCCCAATGGATGTAAGCTTGGTTAGCCAGAGCGCAGCCTAGGACAGAAACAGCCTTTCTCACCAGTTTGTACACCAGGTACAGATGCCATAGATCAGAGGTCTTCAACAGGGGTCCGTGACTCCTAGGAGTCCATAGAGGTACTTCATGGAGGTCGTGAAAGTTTTGGTTGGTTAAACTTTTTTTTTTTTTTTTATATTCCCCCTGCATTTTTTCCACTGATGGAAATGTCTTTAAATCCACCTTAACATGAATTCAACACACTCTAGTAAACAGATAAATGGAGACAGACAATGTCTTTCATTCATAAATGCAAACATTTAATGACACACAGGAGCTCTTTAAAGCTGGGCACCGTTTCATTCACAACCAGGAATCAGAATCGGAAATACTTTAATAATCCCAGGGAGAAATTACTTTCGTTACATGACTCCATCTGTAATAGAGTGACTATAGGACCGGTTTGATATAACATAATTTCATACCATATATATATATATATATATATATATATATATAATTAGGGGGTCCCTGCTCGATCTCGCCATCAGTTTGGGGGTCCTTGGCCTGGAAAACGTTGAAGACTCCTGCCATAGATTATAAACTACATAAGCCCTCTAAGAAATGATTAAACCACTGTAAAATATTTGAGTATTAAATTTGCGTCTTAGCCCAAAGCAAGTCTTGTAGTGCTGCTGTTGCCAGTGATGTTTATCAGGAATCCGTCCTGTCTCAGAGCCATCAAGGGCTGTTTGTCTGTCCAATAAGAGCCTGGAACTCTTTTAAGATTTGTAGATAAAATTACAAAGATGTTGTATTATAATATAGGTTTTATATTTGAAGAAAATTCAATTTTGTGCTGTTGACATTAGTTTATTTTCTTTGCTTTTTAATAATTAAAGAGGTATTATAGAGTTTTCTAATAATACTGCCATGTGTGGGCAAAACACAAAACTGCAGCTCTCTTCTGCTCATTCTTGTAGCTCACGCTCACACTTGAATATCAATCTTTTGTTCGCAATGTCAGACCCATTTAGCATGGACGCGCTTGAAGTCACATATGCAAAACAGAGAGGGAACTTCTGACCTAAAGTGAATAAAGGAAAATAAGCTACAGGCTTATAGCTGCATCAGGGCTAAACTGCCAAGGTGTCACTCTGCTCATTAAACAATATTTTAGTTGTAATTGATTGATTGACATTATTGATCTAACAGTGGAGAAATGTACTTGTTACATCAGCTCAAATATTCAAGAAGAAGAATGTGTCAAAGGAACAAAAAAGGTGCATGGGATATATACACAGTGCGTCCACATATGACCGCTTTTTTCTTGTGTTTTAGTAGGATTATTATACAGGGTTATTGCACAGGGTGTTTATATGGGTATTTATATAGATGGATATTTATATATATATATAGTTATTGCACTGGCTGTAAAATATAGAGAAACGGGTTATTGCACTTGGTATCAAATAGTAATGTAGTGTCACATTGTGGAGTCTGGTGGAAGCACGGATGAATGACCTGCGTTAGCGCTCCTTTTTACAAACAGTGTGTAAAAGTTTTTCAATTAAGGAGGGGCTTTATGGTTATTGCACTGGGTGTCAAATGTAGAGAACCAGGTTATTGCACAGGGTATCAAATAGTAATTACACATTATACTTTGCACAAAAGGTCAAATATAAAAAGGCTTTTTTAAAGATACATTTTTCTGTTAAAAATTTCCATAATGTCTCTTTAACTGTAAAGTAACTGTTTTAGCACACAATTTAATGTACCAGAATAAGGTGCAAAAACATTTTTCACCTAAATATTTTGACATTATATGTAGGGAGGCATAATCCAGTACCTGGATCTAAATTCGGCTCCGATGCTTACCCAGCATTCCCTTCCAGTCATTTCTATTCTATTCAATCTATTCACTTTAGTTCTACATTTGCCATGCCGGTTACATCATCACACAGAGCATGCACAGCAGCTATTTTTTTTTCCCCAAAGAATATTTATGACAAACCTGATGCCATCATTTACATGCCAATGTGTACAGTTCATTTATTTAACTGTTTTTGATCAGTGTCAGGTGTCTGCCCATGTGCTTAGCCAAGGTATCGGATCAGAT